GGGGTTTTTTGGTGGGAATTTTTTTTTTTTTTTTTTTTTTAATTTAAATAGCTGTTCTGGCTGTGGTAAGATGAACTCTAAATGTAGTTTTGAGTTTCTATTAAAGATTTTGAGGATTTTTTTCATGTACATGGTCATTTGAGAAGTGACTATGAAGTCATTTGCCCATTTATTGGTTAGATTACTTGTTCTTTCGGGGGTTTTGTTTGTTCTTTTTTTAGTTCTTTGTATATTCTGGGTATTAGTCTTCTGTTCCATAAGTAGCTGGCAAGGATCTCTAAATGTAGTTTTGAGTTTCTATTAAAGATTTTGAGGATTTTTTTCATGTACATGGTCATTTGAGAAGTGACTATGAAGTCATTTGCCCATTTATTGGTTAGATTACTTGTTCTTTCGGGGGTTTTGTTTGTTCTTTTTTTAGTTCTTTGTATATTCTGGGTATTAGTCTTCTGTTCCATAAGTAGCTGGCAAGGATTTTTTTCACATTCTGTAGGCTGGTCTTACTCTATTAATGGTTTACTACTGTGCAAAGCTTTTTCTTTTTCTTTTTTGTTTTTTTGAGAGAGGATCTCACTTTGTAGTCCAGGCTGGCCTTGAACTCAGTGATCCTCCTATTTCAACCTCCCAAGTGATGAGTATAGGTGTGTACTTGGCACACCTGGCTATATTTTTTCCCCCCACCTTATACAGTAATCAGTTCCCAGTGGATCAAGACCATAGCATTAGGTCTGAAACAGGGCCTGGGATTTAGCTCAGTGGCACCATGCCTACCTCTCAAGCACAAGGTCCTGAGTTCGATCCTCAGTTCAAAAACAATTGAGTGAGTCATTAGACTTAAAGAAATCAGGTATAAAAGACAAAAAACGGAAAGAAGAGAATGGGAATAATTCCTCTATGAAGTTAAGGCCTGAAATTCTGAAATTACTATGGGAAAACACTTAAGATTTTGGCAATGGCAATGACTTTTTGAGTAGGATGCTAGTGATTCACAAAACAAAAGCAAGACTCTGCATGGTTTTATTTCTGGGTCCTCCTGTTGCTCTAATGTTAGGATTGTTTTTCCGAGTCTGGGGAGAATGTCATTGGTGTTTTCATGGGATTACGTTGGGTCTGTAGATTGCTTTCATGGTGTGAGCATTCCCTGTCTGTGTGTACCGGCTCGGGGATGGAGGGACCTGCTTCTCTGTAGGTGTCATGGGGTGGGGGGGGTGCCGGGCTTGCCATTTCCGGCTCCAGTCCAGTTGGCAGCAGTGTGTTCTGAGAGGCTTTAGTGCATAGACTGTACAGGTCCATCGTCAGTGTGGTGGCTACAGCAGTCATGTTGTGTCACTCCACGTTGCTGAGAACACCGGCATCTAGGACCAGGACTGCAGCCCCCAGCTGTGCCTGCCTGGGGCTGAGCGTCAGCTGGGGCTTTGCTCCCATCTTTAAATTGAAACATCAAGCCCGGCCTGGCGGCACAGGCCTGTAACCCCAGCACTCGGGAGACTGAGGCAGGAGGATCACTGTGAGTCCAAGACCAGCCTGGGCTACATAGTGAGTTCCAGGTCAATCTCAACTTTATAGTGAGACCCTGACTCAGAAAAATAAAACAAAAAAAATTTTTTTTGAAGCATCAGCCAAGGCCGTGCAGAATCAGGCTGTGGCTGTAGTAAGGTAGATCTGTCAGCTGGGCCAGGGTTTTCCACTGGCCCCTGATGGCACTGTCCTGAGTCACCCAGTGGGACAGTCACATATGTAAACAGTGGTTGAGAGCCTCCCAGCAGCAAGGCAAAATATTGCCCCACTGTAACCATGTTAAATTTAATAGAAAAATACAGGAAGTACATGTATTACCATTAATAACAAAAATATAGCTTTCACTGTTATAATACTGTTTTTTTAAATCCTGACTATTATAAACAGGAAAAAAAGAAACAGTGATATAATCACATAAGCCATGGATGGTGGCGCATGCCTGTAATCCCAGCACTTGGAAGGCTGAAGCAGGAGGATTGCTGCAAGTTTGAGGCCAGCCTGGGCTATATAGTGAGTTCAAGGCCAGCCTGTAGTACATGGCAAGATCTTGTTCCCCACCCCCCCAAAAAAAACAGATTGGTCATCGTCAGCTGAAGTCAGTAACTGGGACTAGAAAAGGATTTGAAAGTTTTATGGTGGTTAAACTGTTGATGTTCTTTTTTCCTGTCCAAACTTTCTATAATATGGTATTTCGTTGGTAGTCAAAAATATGTTTGATTTTGAGATGTTAGAATAGTTTCTTAATTGATTTTGTTTATTTTGTGGGGGTCCCAGGGATTGAACTCAGGACCTTGTGCTTGTGAAACAGGCACAGAGCCGCTGAGCTAAATCCCCATGTGTTTCCTAAAATAATTTGAAGTAAGCACAAAAGTATATCTAATTCAACAAAGATTTTGAGTACTTTTTTTCCTTGAATCTGAAATAAATACATTTACCCCTTAATTTTTCTTCTGCAGGTTTTGTTTTGTTTTGTTTTTTGTGGCATCAGGTATCAAACACGGGTCCTTGTGCTTGCAAGGCCGGTGGCAGCACCACTGAGCTAAATCTCTGGTCCTTTCTGCTTTTCTTATTCTTGGGAGAGAATTTCCATGTACTTTATATCTTTTGATTTAACTCAGTTTTCTTTGGAAACTTGCTGCTTCTCTTTCCTAAGCCAATATTTTCAACATCATTTCCCACCAAAAGGGAGGCTGGTTGTTGCTAGGTAGAACTTTGGGTAGAAATCTCTTGACTGCTGTCTGAGCCTTTATTTCTTTCTTGAAATGAAACCTTGTGATTTTAACTGACTTCTAGCTTGCATCTGTTCCTCCTTTTCAATTATGAAGTGTCTTGCTTTGCATTTAGTAACTTCTAAGATCGCACTCCCATTTGAATGAATGGTTCTGTGAGCTTTATTTCTGATAACTCTTTTCTTCTTGGATCATCAAAAGCTAACTACAGACATTCTTCATTTAGTGACAGAATTATATTCCTGCGACGTGGCCATTAAATGAATCGGTCACTAAATGAGGAATTGTGGATAGTATGTAAAATATTTAGAATAAAGAAATGGCTAAAAGAAATTCCAACTTGATTTTGTTTTTATTTATATAACTTACATGAAGTACTGTTATATAACTACAGTGCTCTATCGTATAATCAGGAAAAATTATAGGCTGTGTTATAGAGAAAAATTATGGACTTATAAACAAGGTATTGTGTACAAATTAAAAGACCCTGAGGCCCTATCAACAAGATGAACAGAACTATACCCCAAAAAAGGTGGGTCCTAAGTCCAAATAGTCATGAAATGAGGAATATCTGTAACACAAGTTTCAGTCTCTATTAATTTGAAAATTAAGAAATACATATTTGATTATATTCTGCTCTTAGAGACACAGCTTGTCAGGGGATTCTTGTTTGCTTTTGTGCTTTTGTTTCTGGCCCATAACAGTCTAGATGGTCACAGGATGGAATCACCCACTGGTTCAATTTTTACATATTAATAATTCAGATTTACTCACCAGGGAATCGACAAGGATGATTTGAGGTTGCTCTTTGAATTTTTAAAAATATTTGTGTAAAGCCAGTTCCGCATTCAATGTGTATTTTGGCACGTAGGTCACTGGGATGGTGAGCTCCTCTCAGTCCACACCTCTGATTTTTCCCAGGCCACGGCAAGTATGTTTTATTTGCCTTCCGTGACTGAATTAGAAAAATCCAGAGTGAAATGAATGATCCTGAACATTTATTACTCTCAATGATAAAGTTCTCCTCTGAGCACAGTTAGAATGCATGTGAAATTATTTGCTTAATTTCAATAATTAAATTTGTAATTTTTGTGAAGATGCTGATTACTCAGTTCCAAATGTGAAGGTTAAAGTGCTGAATGTCATTTCTGGATAACCCGAGGGACCACAGCAAGCATCCCTCCTCTCAGCTCCCGCATGTGGCATTGAGCTCTGGTGGGCAAGAGCAGAAGTTACCAAGTGGCCTTGAGGACACTGGCCACATCCGTCCCACCAGGCTCTCTTGGTTCTGCAGCTGCCATTGCAGTGCTACAGGCGGTCCCTGCGTTCCCTCCAGAAGGGGAAGGCACTGGCCATGGTGACGCCCCCGCTGTGGGACAGGCAGCCTGACATCTGCATTCACGTGACAGTGACAGTGACCGTCTTCCCAAGTGCTGTGAGGGCCAGGACCCAGATGTGAGGAACCTCCAGCAATTTTGTTACAGATTCCCTGGGATGCTTCAAGTTGCAGAGTCCCTGGCAGACCCCAGCTTGCTTCCCCTGGGGGCTTCCCTACCTCATCTAAGGCTCCTTCCCTGTGTTCACCTATGATTCTTGAAAACTGCCTTTGTAAAAATACAGATTTAGGAGTCCAAATTACATCACTAGATGTAAAAATTAAATGTTTGGTGCAAGTGTGAAAGAGGGTATTTACGTTAAAAACCTGATGCCTTTTGGCAGAGGGAAATCTTAGGAAAATTTAAAGCAAAAGCCCATTTTTAACCAATTTAGCCCGAATTTTCGTTGTATATCCTAGGTGCGCATGTGCATTTTCCTCTGCAGGTAGTCACAGGGAGTGCCTTCTAGTTCTTTTCCCAAGTACTTTGCTCTGTTAAGAAAGAAAAAGGTGGCTTCACTTGTCATAATGGGGACAGGGACGCCGTTTCCCCTGGCACTTCACTCCGCCTTCATGGCTCTCCCTTAGATTTTGTCCAAGAGGTTGTGGAATCTCTTCCACTTCAGTGAACTCTAAGCTGCCGACTCTTCCCTGCAGTTTCCCGACTTTGGTCCTGACGCAGCCCTTTCTTTACATGACTGCTTTGTGCACTGCCCACAGCAGGGACCAGCAGAGCGCTGGGCAGTTGAGTTTACATTTTACTTGAATTCGCATAACCTGTGATCGTGGTTGCGAATTGGCTAGCAATTTGATGATCGATGAAAGGCAGGCAGTTCTCATTGTGGAGTCCAGGATGGTGAACGTTGTCTCTCTTCCAGGGCCCGTGCAATTCGTTTTCGACAAGACAATGACGAAGCAGTGGGAGGATTCTTTTCTCAGATCGGGCAGCTATATATGGTGCATCATCTTTGGGGTATGGATGTTTCATTGTTTTTCTCTAGACCGGATCTAGCTGACTTGTCCAGTTTGGGCTAAACTTGCCGTTCTCCTGCTTCAGCCTCCCAGAGTGCTGGGATTCCAGGCATGCTCCACCTCACCCAGAAAGTTACTAGGATTGAGGAGTTCGTTGCTAAGTAAATTGTGGTAAGCATGAAGCAGGTCTCAAGTCAGTAACCTTACCCACTTTAGCAGATCCCCACATCACGGATGCTAAGTGCTGTGGCATCTAAAACTAAAGAAGCAGAATGTGGTGGCACACACCTGCTATCCCAGCACTCAGAGGCTGAGTCAGGAAGATCACTTCAAGTTTGAGGCCAAGGCCTGAATGACATAGCAAGGTGCTGTCTTAACAAAAAAAAATAACACTGAAGAGATCCACAGCGAGGGGTGCAGAGATCCATTGTATGCGAGCTGATAATGAAAAAGTATAGCAGTAAAAGGGATAAGAAGTGAAGCAAGCAGCCATAGGAGATGCAGGATGATAGAACCACAGAGCTCCCTCCCAGGCTGGCTTCCTGTGTGTTCAGAGCTAGTGCCGTGCTGTACCTGACTGGCAGCTCCGACGCATGCACTCTCACTGATGGTGCCTACCCCGAAAGCCACTCCCTCACCTTTTCCAACCCAAACCTGTGAGTCCACGCCAGCTTTGGTATCCTCGAGGTGGCCTGATTCAGATGGAAGCCCTTCCCCACCAGTAAATGCGGCCCTCCTCCAAGCCCCCAGGGCCCTTCGTAGGGTGATTGTTGGTGTTTCTCTTCCCTGCTATTCAGAAACTGCGGCTCAGAGGTAGCTTGGTATAATTCTGCCAGTGCATCCCGGACAGGTTTATAAAAGGCTGTTAATATTGAGATGAAAGCATAATTCAAGTCAAACCAGGTCAGTTCACCCAGAGAGTTAGTGTTGTGTCCCTGCCTGTGCTTTTGTGTTGGCATAGCCAGGTCTACACAGAGAAGAAAGACATATCTACTAAGGATAAAGCAAGTGTGAGTAACTGTGACACAGGCAGTGTGTGCTTGGTGACAAGGCAGTCTGGAGACATAGGAGATGTAAAATTACAGGTCCTTAGGGAATCAGTGGAAGGTAGGCGGTGAGCTGGACTCCCAGACCTAGAGGAACTGCCAGCTAAAGGTAGGAAGGAAGGCTGGAACAGTGGTAGAGACAGGAAATTACTCAGAACCATAAACACTGCAGGCTGGGGACGTGAGGTAACCAGGAGCCTTTGTCTGAATGGGTAAGTTAAAGCAAAAAGAAAAAAAAAAAGTAACTTGCATTGTGCTCCTGGGACCCTGCACCCATCCTCACTCCCAGAAACCCCTGCTTCCCACAGGGACGCTGAGCCCAGCCAAGCTGCACTGTGGGACTTCCTGCCACACTATGTGGTAGCGGCCACCAGTCTCCTTCCACTTCCTAGGTCACCAGAGGGCAAGGTTGTCTTTGAGAGTGTAGTTTTCTAGCTGAGATTTGACCCCACGAATATCAGAGTTTTCCAATGTTGTAGATTTAAAACCAAATCTGTTCTACACTTACCTACCTTTTATAATTATACTGCATGTTATTTAACCCTCGGGGATTTGCGGTAGGGCAGAGTAGTTTGTTATTATTTCAAACTCGTACCCCAACACCCTGTCTGGATGCTAAGGGCCATCGTTCAAAAACGTCCCGACCCCAGAGTCACATAAAGAGAAAAATTTCTAAACAAGTTGTGGGAAGGTATGGATATGGAATCGAAGTCACTACGTTTTCAAACATGGATGAACCTGAGGAGATTCTGCTATGTGAAATAAACCAGCTACCAAAAGACTATTTTACAATAGTAAAGCATTTTTTATTTTTTATGTTATTTTATTATTTCCAGTCTAGGAATTGAACCCAGGGTCTAACATATGCTAGGCAAATACTCTACTACTGATTCATACCCCAAGCCCCTAAAATATTTTTTTATTTTTATTTATTTGTTTATTTATATTTGGTACCGGGGATCAAACTCAGGTCCTTGCGCTTGCAAGGCAGGCAGTAGAACCACTGAGGTGGAATCCCGGCCCCTAAAACTTTTTTTTAAAAGAAAGGTCCACCCATCCTATGTATAGGTGACAGAGATTTCAGTCCGGGGTGGGTAGGGTTAAAGGTGTGCAAGAGCAGGGCTTCTCACAGGAAGCGAGACTGTCCTAGCAGAGGAAGGTGGCCCGGGTCCTCCTTGGGTCTTGGCTGCCATCCTGTGGGCGCTCAGCTGGCAGCATGGGCAAGGACTCACCCGGAGTGGGAATCAGAACCTAAGCGTCCCTGCGAGGTGTCTGTAAAGCTGTGCTCTGAGACACCAAGGCAAAGCCACACCTTTGCTGTTTTTCCCGTCTGCCTGAGCATCTCTCTCTTGCCCGGTCAGGTCAGTGCCATCTTTCCTAACCTTCAGGACTCACCTGGTCCCATTCCCCCTCCCAGGCAGCCCTGCAGGTCTCCTTCCTAACCACAGCCCTCAGCAGGGGCCGGCCTTAACCTTTCTTGTTTCCGTTCTCCACTGCATTGGACGCAGTCTCTTCCTGAATCTATGCAGGGCTTTATAAGCATTGAGCAAAACTTTATTTATCTTCACTTTGTGAGGTCCTGGGGACAAACCCAGGGCCTCATGCATGCTGAGCACACACTGCACCACCATAAAACAGAATTTCTGATTCATGGCTACACCCCTGGCCCATGTTGAGCAGAAGAGAACGGAGGCAGTGGCGCCACAGTTTCTGGTTTTAACATGTTACTGAAAATGCCCTTACTCCGGCCACATCACGCTGAACACACTTGATCTCATCTCAACACTTACCTTGCTGTCTGAGCATTCCAGGGGCTCCCTGGGCCCCTGAGGTTTGAAGAGCAGATTGTCCTGGGGCCTCACACAGGATAATGGGTTCTCAGTTTTCTGGGCTCAGTCCTCAGTGCCATAGCAGATCGGAGGAACTGGGGGAGCAGGCGGATGGGGGACTGGTGGGTGTGATGCTGGGTTTGCTCTGAGTGCTGCTTCCTCTCTGGTTCTTCAGCTTACAAGGATCTGCAGAGCCGGGAAGATACGCGGAACTCAGCCTGGCACAAACCCGGCTGGGAGGAGCTGGTGTATTATACAGGTGATCTTGAAAACATTTCATTCTTCTCATATTGTTGTAATTGTGTTCTCACCCTGCAGTTAATTTATGTATTTTTAAAGTTATGTTGTTAGGATGGTGAGTAACAAGTTTGGGAAGAGGGGAGATAAATTTTTCTTTCATACTTCTTTGATTTTTTTAAGGCTATTCATTCTTTGAAGTATGAATGTTGCCTGATTCTGTTTTCAGGTTCTTGGATATTAAAAATTTTACAGTATTACCTTTTGTAGACTTCTCTATTTTCTGAAAATACATTCTACAGATTTTTTTTTTCTGAGCCTTCTATTCTTCATCAAAATTGTCATTTCCCAAAGACATAACTTGGTACATCAGTTAAAAAGAGTAACGTGAGAGCCAAGCACTGGCTCAGCCCTGGGTTTGATCCCCAGCACCAAAAAGTAAAAGAGTAAGTTTGAAATTAAATGGGACACAGCTGGGTGTGGTGGCGCACGCCTATAATCCCAGCACTCAGGAGGCTGAGGCAGGAGGATCACTGTGAGTTTGAGACCAGCCTGGGCTACATAGTGAGTTCCAGGTCAGTCTCAACTACATAATGAGACCCTGTCTCAAAAAAGGCAAAAAAAAAAAAAAAGTGACAAGTCAATTTTCCAAATGCACAATGTGTGCTTGTAGACACAGACGTCTGTGCGCATGTATTGTGAAATCCTGTTTGATTTGTATAAGAAAACGTCCAGGCTAAGTGCAGCCCAGTGTACTGAAGAGGCCATAAATACCAGGCACGCTGCAGGCCAGGTGCATTGCAGCTGTGTACTGCCTGGAACATGAGTCAGGCCAGGAAGTAGGTATTATCTTGTGTTTTAGTTAAAAAAAAATCATAATTGTATGTGATTTTATGGCTTACCTATACTTTTATCAGTTCCCAGAAGTGTATTTTACTCAGCAGAAGTTTAACAAATATAGTCCATCTGTATCTTTGTACAGGATACTTGGTTTTATATCAGTTTACTGTAGTTCAAAGATCCTTTGCAGAAATCACCCTTTTCTCACGATATGGACTGTCCTAATTTGCCACAAATTGTACAACATCTCTAGAAAGGATGTTTTGGCTTCATTAGTATCTTACAGGATGCCAGCTCATCTGTCCTTAGCTTGCTGAGATTGGTTCTGTTTGCTGATACCCTGTTCTGTTTTCAAAGCAGCCTGTCCGTTGATGTGTCTGTACCATGATGTGTTTGGAAAGGAACAAGCACAGTAATTCTCCTGTTTTCAGTCCCACTCATTCAGGAAATGGAGTCGAGAATCATGATCCCTCTGAAGACCTCACCCCTGCAGTAAAGCTAGAGAATCAGTCTGTGCCCACGTAAATGTCTGTGGCAAGTATTTGTCATAAATTAATTTAATTGTATATCAAGTGAAAAAAGAAACACTGAATTATAAATGGCTGTACATAGCTTACAGGAGACCTCTTTTCTCTAAAGCTGAGGTAATCACGAGAAAGGAAACCGTCTTACAGTGACTGTAGCAAGGCTCTGGCAGCCTAAGAGACCCTGCAAATTTGTCAGACCAACCATGGAAGACTTCACCTTCCCTCCCTCCCTGGCCGCCAGGAAAAGAGGGTCCAGATTAAAATTGGAATCATTGCAGAATAAGATTCCAGCCATTAAAAAAAAATTCTTTCTAAAAAGCAAATGAATTTTTTAAATCACAGATTTTGACAGATTTCTCATGTGCAGAAGAAATACGAATTTTATCATGTTTCTCAAGCAGTTTTTCTGAGTCTCAAGGTAGCAACTGTTATGTATGTACCCAGTACCAGAAGATGTTGGAATTCACTCTCCTTTCTAACCAGCTGGAATGGAGCCGACCGTGGTGGACAGGGGCACTTACCTAGTAATTGGCGTAGGGCCCTGTGAGCAGGGACGGAAGGCCTGAACCTGTGTATCATATATGATTTTTGAAATGAACACCTTGAATAGCACCGCTTTTTATTTGTGATATTTTTCTATAAAACAAGTAGTCCTTGGCAAAGAGGTTTTATTTTGTAAAGCATCACTTGTAACCTCCAACGGTCTCCAGTTAGGGTTTCAGTAAGTGCGCAGCAGACTCCGAGACGTGTGAAGGGCAGTGCATGTTGAGGTTTTCAGTCAGCATAAAGGCGCATACGGCGTTTGGCCTCGCTGTGGGATTTCCTTTTAGTATAGTTGCCAATCTGTAATCATGTGAGTGTCACGGTGAACTGAAAAATGATGTCTGCCCCACAGATTGAAGAATTTTTGTGTAAAATAAAAGTTTGCAGAAATCTCATATCGGACATTAAAGCTTTTACATGTGAATGGTTTCCTCCAAGAAAAATACCAAAGTCAATAAAATCCTTTTAGTTTTCACATATTCCATGTCCGGGGTCTTTTTTATACACTTATGCTGAGACCGCTGGTCCCAAAAGAGAAGCCGCGGTCTGGACAGCAGCTGCCTTTAGCATCCGTGAGTCTCATCTGCCCTAAAGCCTTAGCGACCCTTCGTGAGCCCTGACTTTCAAAATGAGCAACAGATTTCCCACTCAGCCTCCTTATTGAATCTTTCTGAAAATAACAGTTTTTCCTGACCCACCCGAGTCCTTCGGAGACCCTTAACTCCTTGAAAACAAAGACGGTTCCTCCTTACCCTCCTCCCCCAGCCTGGGCACAGTGCCAGGCACACATTTGTAAGATGTTTTTGAAGAAAAGAATGATTTATATGAAAGTACTTTCTTTTAGGAAAAATGGCGGAATTCATATACAGTATAAGAAAAATAACCTAGCTTTCAGAACTGGAACGAAAATGTTGGGAACAGAGGGAACTTTCACTTAGAAGTTGTATGCACTAGCTGGGCTCACTAATGTACGTGGCTGTAATCCCAGTCATTCAGAAGGCTGAGGCAGGAGGATCACAAGTTCAAGACTAACCTGGGTAACTCAGCACTGCCTCACTGAAAAAAAATAAATTGTGTGCACTTGTATATAAAATGACCCCTGCAGACGTTAAGCTTCTAGTATTCTCCACACTGCCTCATCCAATATTAGGGTTTAGACCTCATGTCCTGCAAGTGCCACATGCGCTAGGAGGCAGGTTTTGGAAGGTGATGGATCATGGGACACCATAGGTGACTTGCAGCTAGAAGGTGGGGCTTGACTGAAGGTGGGGCTTGATTGGAGGTGGGGCATGGGGGCGTGGCCTGGAAGGGGCTCTCTCCCTCTAGCAGCTCTTCTCTCTGCTTCTTGTGGGCCAAGAGGCAAGTGTGTCTGCTGCTCCAGGCTGCCCTGCCTAGGAACCTGCAACCCTGGACTCTTGGGTGTCCATTGTTTTGACCCAGCAGTGGACTCTTCAGCTGTCAGGTAACTAAGACATCGCCAGTCCCTACCCACGGGCCACTAAATGTCTGGTGGGCGCCTCTTGTACCTTTAGCAAATAGACTGCAAGAATTACACTTTGAGGGGTAGTTGCCTTCTCTCTGCCTTGCTTTTGTTGGCAGATGTGCCCAGGTGGAGGTGTCTGGAGGAGGTAGGTGTTGAGGGTCCGGAATTCCGGGGAGCAATGTGGCATGGGGACCTCCTTTGCTAATCGTCGGAACACAGGATCTCAGGTGAGGCTGCGTGAGCAGATGGAGAGGAGTAGCAAATTAAGGAGAAGCTCACACAGTTGCGCACCCGTGTAATCCGGCACTCTGGGAGGCCGAGGCAGGAGGACTGCAAATTGAAGGCAGGCCTGGGCAATTTAGCAATTTAGACTCTGTCTCAAAAAAGCTGGGCAAGGTGGTACACGTCCCAGCCCTGGGGGGGGGGTGGCTGAGCCAGGAGTTCAAGGTCAACCTGAGCCACCTAGCAGGACCCTGTCTCAAAAAAGGTTTTTCTTTTAGAGAGAGGCTGCCTCTGAACTTCATGCAGAGGGCACAAAACGGCCACCCACTGCCCTCGGCAGCTCAGGTGACAATGCAGATGCACCCAGAGGTTGGCTAGGTTTCCTTTCCACTGGGAGGTTCGGCACCCTGCACCCTGTGGCCGGTTGTGCTGCTCCCCTGCTTCTCCATCCGAAAGTCCCTGGGGCCTGAACGCAGGGAGATGGCGATTTGAGGCAACCAGAGGCTCCTCCATGGCCTTTGCCGCTGGCTTTGAATAAAGATTTTTCCTTTGTCACCAGGGGGAAGCATGAGCACAACCCTGAGTGACCAGAAACATACCTAGCAATGCCAAAACTGAAAAAGTAGGAGTCGCAGATTTCTAGTGTCATTCCAAAAGGCTTTGTGCATTTTGCTCAGAGCTGGTGCCAGAGAGATGCTGTGTATTGTATGAAAGGTTCTAGAGGCTGGACATGCTTGTAATCCCACCAATCATGGAGGCTGAGGCAGGAAGATAGCATTGGAGCCCAGGCTGGGCAGTTTAATGACTTAGCAAGACCCTGTATCAAAAGAAAAAAATAAAAAGGGCTGAGGATGTAGCTCACTGCGAAGGCCTTGGGTTCAATCCGGGGGGTGGGGAGCAAGCAAGCAGTTCCACATGGGCACCATGATCCCTCTGCAGATCAGAACCCCCAGCTGGTCAGTGTATGCTTCCTGGTCAGCCCTACCCATGGATGGTGACCCTGGCGACCCCAACACCGAGCCCAGCTCCCCCCACCCCCCACTCACAGGCACCTCGGCACTGGCGAAGGTTCCGGGGGCTCAGTCTGCCTTGCAGACCTGCAGGCCTGGTCCTGCCCGGGCGCTGCGCCACTCCACACACCCCACAAAACAGCGCCAAGGAGGAGCAGTGCCAGGAGGCGTTTACAATTGTGAAACAACTGCCTTGTTTTGCGAGCTCATTTAATGGTTGCCAACCTTATTTTGCATCTCCTACAGAAACTGAATCTTTTCCCCCAGCCCTTTTGATTTTGAGTTTGAGCCGCGGCAAATTGCTGTGTTGCCCAGGCTGGACTTTCAAACCTCCTGCCTCAGCCTCCTGGGATGCTGGGATTACAGGTGAAAGCCACCAGGCCTCGCTCCAAAACCGATATGGAAGGAAACTGGACTCATCTGATTTGGTAAAGTGCTAAGTTTTCAAATAGTTTCCAATTTTCAAACATGACTGCAGCTGGACCCAGCTCCACAGTGAAGCACCTGGTTTTGATCCTCACACCACTACCAAACCCCAAAACCAAACCAAAACAGCCTTCCAGCCTTTCCTCCTTAATTATCCACCAGTGACTCTGCAAAATTCTCTCAAGTTTTGTGTCTCTCCTTTCCCCTTTTTCTACTAAGGAGGGGAGAATCTCATACTTTTTTTTTTTGTTTTTGGTACTGGGGATGGAACTTGGGTCCTTATGCTTGCAAGGCAGGCAGGAGACTTTCATACTTTCAAAGCTCTTTCTGTAATTTCCTCTATTGATACCACTCAAAATAAACAGGAACCTGCTTTGCAGGCTGTAATATTCATATATGCTGTTAGGAGGTTGTTCTTAATTTGTTTAGAGGAGGAAAGCTGATCTTTGTGATCAGTAAAACGTCTTTGTTCTACTTGATGTAATTTTTAAATATCTATTTTTAAGACCAGCACTTTTTTTTTGTTTGTTTTGTTTTTGGCACAGGGTCCATATGTAATTCAGGCTGGTCTTGAACTCACTGTGTAGCCCAGGCTGGCCTCCAACTCTCGGGGATCCTCCTGCCTCAGCCTCCCAAGGCTGGATGACAGGCATTCACCACCACACCTGGCAAGGCCAGTACTTTTAAGGCTCCATTATTCTTGTATAAAACCTTTACAACATCCCTCATATAACATATTTTAAGACTTAAATAAAGGAATTACCCCTCTGTCCCAGAGCTGTAAAGAATAAAATGGATTTTTAAAAATTGAATTTTCTCAAATAGAAAGGGGAACCAAGATGGAGGGAGGGGAGAGGATGGGGAGGGGAAGGGAATGAGGAAAGAATGGAGATGCTTTAGGTGCATGGCTAAGGGAATGTAGCTCTCAGGTACTGCAAACATGCACTAGTAAACAATGAAACTGACCAGCCAGGCGCACAGCACAGGCCTGGAGTCCTGGCTCCTGGAGCAGACAGTCACAGGTGCTGCCTGTAGCCCCAGAGGCCGCCACCAGCCGCTGTCTCCCTGCACCTCTCTGGCTTCTCACCTCCATGCCTCGTGTACCTGCACCAGGTAGGACAGGGGCCCCGGGGTGAGCAGCGGCCCCTCATCTCTTTCCAACAAAACCTTGTCCTTGTTCCCAACCTCCTGTGTCCCTGGGAAGCAGAGCACTGCAGACGGACCTCAGGGACAGGTGTCAGTTCTTCTGAGGTGGCCAGTGGGACATGGACACAGAGAAAGCTCAGCTCCTCCCTTGCCAGAAACCCTGGGTGCCTAACTGGACTCAAATCCCACAAACTGGATAGATAAACTTTTATTTCTATACCAAAGGACAACCAGTGTGCGTTAAGGATGCAGAATCCAAATGTCCAAGTCAAAGTGTTTTGTTTATTATACGCCTTTAAAAGGCTTCAGGTAAAATATAGCTTGGGTTACACATAAGAATTCAGATGATAAAGCACTCCAGGTAATTAATAGTTGGAATAAAATACCCCACCATCCTTGAGGAGTCATAACTATAGCTTACTTGAGTGTACGGAGAATCGGTACAAACTTTATGTATCTTGTCCTTGGCAGCTGCAAGCCACCAGTATGTAAAACTTTTAAAAGTTAATCGAAAGTTTTGGGGCCGGGGATTTAGCTCAGCGGCACCACACCTGCCTCGCGAGCACAAGGTCCTGAGTTCAATGCCCAGCACCGCAAAAAAAAAAAAAAAAAAAGTTAATCGAAAGTTTTGTTACAAGGTGCGTAAAAATTTACATTATTCTTCCAGTGTTCCCAGAAGCTCCACAAAATCAGTGATATACCACTTGGCATTGTCCTTTACTTGTTGCCTGATCACATTTCCTCCAAATCCAATGAAAACATCCTAGAAAGGATAAAAGAGGAGTAAATTCTTTAAGTAATGCACAGGTCAGGGCGAATTTTGTTTGTTTGAGACAAGGCCTCAATGAGGAGGCTGGCACTGAACTCACTATGTAGCCTAGGGTGGTCTCCACCTCACAGTCCTCCTGCCTCAGTCTTCTGAGTGCCGAATGCCAGGTGTTTGCCACTACGCCTGGCAGGAGGGCAATATTTTTGTTTGAAAAATGAACTTCATACAAAGCAAAGTGAGCCTGTGTTTCCCTGAGTGACAAGAAGCCAAGTCTCCCCAGCGGATGATTCAGAGGCTTTGGGAAAGATACTGTGTGGCCCAGCCCTCTTAAAACCTCCCCGGGTGCTTTCAAAGATCAAATCAAGGTCCAAGGATTGAGCTCAGTGGCACTGTGCCTGCCTCGCAAGCACAAGGTCATGAGTTTGATCCCCATCCGGTAAAAAAAAAATTAAAAAGTGGATCCCAAAGATCAAATCAGGTCCCAAGGTTAAAGTCTGCGTTCTAAATTGGGCAGCAAACACATCCAGGCCAGGTTAACTTCAGAGAACCCTGCTGGACCCGGAGTCAGAACCACACCCAGCACCTCTATCCTGCCCGTGCAGGCAGTGACCCTGATGACTGGCTGGGGGTGGGGGTGCCAGGTTCTGCTGAATGATACCACCTTCTAGGCAATGATTTTTTTTTTTTTTTTTGGAGATGGGGTCTCACCATGCAGGCTGGCCTCCAACTCAGTGATCTTCCTGCCTCAACCTCCCAAGTGCTGGGATGGCAGGCATATGCCACTATGCCCGGCAAATAATCTTTTTTTAAAATGGTAGTTTCTTGGGCATCAGGGCACCACACCTGTCATCCCAGCACTCTAGGAGGCTGAGACAGGAGGATTAAGTCTGAGCCCAGCCTGGGCAACTTTGTGAGAACCTGCCTCAAAATTTTAAAAAAAAGTCTGGGGATGTAGCTAAGTGCAAAGGCTTTGGGTTCAAAAGGAGAAAAAAGAAAGACAAAATGATAAACCCCAGAGGACCCTGTGTACCACGCAGTGGTGTGAACAGAGGGGAGAAAATGCTGTGCACGCAGGTGTCACTGACAGAGGGGTCTGTGACCCCAGGAAGGCGACTGGGCCAGAGCTGCTGAGGGAGACGCGGTCCCAGGAGGTGACCTCTGTGTCCACAGGGAGAGGGCGTCTCACTGTAGGAGGCCACTCTGGGGCTGCCAGGGAAGACAGATTGCTTAGGGGCTAAATTCCGGGGCAGATTCTAGGGTTGTCTTTTTTCCCTTGTATGACGAGCAAACAGGACACGCAAGAGAATGCTCTATCTGTATTGTGGCAGAAAAAGAAAAAAACGCTTCTATTTCTTTAGCCGTGCTGGGGGTTGACATGAGCCACATTCCCAGCCCTTTTGATTTTCAGTCAAGGCTGCAGTAAGTTGCCCAAGTAGGGCTCAGCTTTCCACCCTCCTGCATCAGCCTCCCAAGTGCTGGGATTACAATGGCCCCCATGCCTGGCTTTGGGTCAGTTTTTTCTAAAGCAGAACGACAGTTGGGACAAAGCTTATGTGAAATGGCCACACTTGATATGCAGGCCATCAGCTGTTTGCATTTGCTTCCTGTGTTAGTTTTAAAATGCTTAGAAATTTCTACTAGTGTCAGAAAAACATTTCTTCAGAAAAATAAAATGACAGTGATCCCAGCACTCGGGAGGCTGAGGCAGGAGGATCGCTGTGAGTTAGAGACCAGCCTGGGCTACTTAGTGAGTTCCAGGTCAGTCTCAACTACATAGAGAGACCCTGTCTCAAAAAAAAAAAAAAAAGCTTTGATTCAGGCAAATCATCTAATCTCCCTCCCCCAGCCTCAGTTTCCCCATCAAGAAAATAATGAGAATTAAGTGAGATATTATGTGAGGAAGCACTCTGTATAAATGACATTAAAATCTTGGTTATTGTCTGGCATGGTGGCCCATACCTGTGATCCCAGCACTTGGGAGGCTGAGGCAGGAAGATCATCACAAGTCTGAGGCCAGCTTAAACTACACGTCAAGACTTTGTCTCCAAAAAAAAAAAAATCTTGGTTCTAACTGTAACAGCTGATCGGATTATGTGGGAAAACAAGGAACTTCACTGAGTACACATCTGAGCTCAGTTGATGCCCAGGCCATAGAGACAAGGGACCAATGAAAGTTTCTATTTGTTTATTTTTTGAGACAAGATCTTGTTAGTAGTTCAAGTGGCCTTGAACTCTCCGGTTATCCTCCTGCCTCAGCTTCCCAAATGCTGGGATTATAAGAGTGCACCCTCCCAGCAATAAGTTTTAAAAGTAGTAGTTCCTTATCCATAAATTGTCTTAGGTTTGCAAAAAGTTAGTTGATACCGAGATGCTTTGGCTGTTTAGGGTTTTCACGTTGTTCTATAGTGATCTCAGCTATTTTTGTTTAACTCCTGCTGTAAACCTCACCTAGTTCTAAATCAGCTGCCTAAAATAATTACACCAGAAGAGAACGAGTCCCCCAGTACATACAGCGGGCGGGCAGGCTTCCATGTCTGTGGCGCCATCTCCGATCATGATTATGTTCTTAAAATGAAATTTTTCCTTTAAAAATTTTATTACTTTTCCTTTCCCACCAGATTCGGCTGTTGGCTGTGTCTCATCGAAACCCGCATATTCACCTTGAAAGACAGAACAGCGTTAACACTGCGGGCGCATGGAAGGACTGCACTCGTAAATGACGTCCCCACTGAAATGTCACTGAAAGGTCCCACCCCGCTCCTCAGTCAACGAGCTTTGTTCTCTACACAGACCCCTCTTGTAAAGGAGGCTCTCTGGGGTTGTGAGCACCTCAAGGCGAATTAATTAGATCCTCTAAACTGCTGTGTAGTGATTCTAAACCCTGTGGAGGTAGGTGGCAGAACACCCCAAAATAGTAAAATATACTAAATTTACTATGTTAATATGTCAGTTCACCTAAAGAAAAATTTAACTTGTTTTCAATGTTTTGTTTGTTTTCTAAGTCAGGGTCTGGCTATGTAGCCCAGGTTGGCCTCGAACTTGAGGTTAATCCTCCTGCCTCAGCCTCCTGGGTGGATGCTGGGAAGAGAGGTTAATGCCACTGCACGAGGCTTCCATGAAGTCATTTATATACAGACCAGTGCTCACCAAAGCTAGGACGGATGCTAAGTCTGTTCCAGAGCGAAAGATTCTTGGTCCAGAAAGCTGTCTAATATGGACCTCAGCAGACACCGCCCAGGACCCCGAGTGACAGGTCTGATAGGAGAGGGCCGTGCTGCTGTCAAGTCTTACCGTTAAAGTAGAATTTCAGCCTATTGGCAAACACATTGGCTGCTGGGATATTGAGCTTGGAGGCAACATGCTCTACAATACTCCTAAAGCCACCAGAGATTAGGAAAACCTGAACTCCGCGCTCCTGCAGGCGACTTACCAGCTCCCTGCAACAAGAAATGCGAAACACCAGACCTTGTTTAATTAAAAAAAAAAAAAAAAAAAGAATTAAAATATATTTCTCTCCAGAGTGCATTCATCTGAGGTGCATCGGACAAGATGCTAACATGGTCGATTCATGTTTATGGTTTTCAGAAATGAATGGGTGATGTTTTCTGCTTATGAGACAACTTTCTTCTGCCCATGAACCCAGAAAAACTTAAGATGAAGAAACACAGGAGGGTGTGGTGGTGTGCACCTGTCATCCCAGAACTCTGGGAGGCTGAGGCAGGAGGGTCACAAGTTTGAGATCAGTCTGGGCAACTTAGTGAAACCCTGTTTCAAAGTTAAATTCAAATCAACACAGGAAAGCTCAGGGCCTTCCCAGGAGAGGAGGGCCAACTGGGCAGACCCGATGCCAGCTGAGGCCATGAGCAGCAGACACCAGGACGGGGAGCCCAGCTGCCTTACCTCACGCCGGGGGTCAGGTGTGGCGGGTGCTCAGCCAGCAGTCTCTGCACCTGCTCCCTGGAAGGCCGGATCAGGGCCAGGCGCTCAGTCAGCGCAGCTCGGAAGGGCACTGCCCCGCCCATGGCCCGCCGCGTCCTAGGGAGACCAGAGCTGAGCCAGCCAGGAAGCCCTGCAGGGCCCCAGGGCCTTTCCAGAATAAGACACACGCACATGCACACACTCATCCACCCACAGCGACTTCCCTCTGGGGCTATAAGCTCTCCTAGGCCCACGAGGAACCCGAAGGCTGGCTGCTCTGGCATCCAGCAGCTCAGCACAAAGCAGTCGGACATGGGGACAGGTGGCAGCACAGTGAGGTGCTGCTGCTGCATACAGCAGAAAGGAGGGAGGAAACTTGCTGGGCGTCGTGGCACACACCTGTGATCCCAGCACTCAGGAAGCTGAGGCAGGAGGATCACCAAGGGTTCAAGGCCAGCCTTGAATGACATGGCAACACTGTCTCCAAAAAAGGAGAGAGAGAGGGACTCTGACCCAGGATCCCTCCCCCTAAACTCTGGACCCAAGCTCGCTTTCCAGGGACCTGCTGAGGCCACACAGCCGATGCAAAACCCCCAGCACTCAGAGACCCGGCTGCCTTCCCCATGTCCTGACCAAACTAAATGCATCTCCTGCGTCTGCCCACCAGGGGCTCCTCCCAAAGCCACGCAGGCCCCGGCTGCCCGTACATCTCTGACACTGCATCCTCCACGCCGCAGAACTTGGCCAGCTCGTCGATGCCCTCCTCCCGGATCACCGTGCTGTCCACATCGAAGCACACGGCGTCCGCTGCGCAGAACAGCCTCCTCAGCTCTGAGTGGGAAACCATGCTTGGCAGAATCCTCGCCCTACGGGAAGGAATGAGAAATAGTTCCACAGATACAAACTATAGGGTTGGGATGGTGATGCAAGCCTGTGATCCCTGCACTGAGGAGGCCAAGGCAGGAGGATCTCCTCGAGTTCCAAGACAGCCCAAGCTACATAGCAGGAGACCCTGACTCCAAAAAACAAAAATAAAGAATAAAACAAGAAAGAAAGAACAGAAAGGGGAGGTCAGGAAGGAACTCTGGGAGGCGCAAAGCTGTAGAAGCGGGAGGAGAGAGTTTCAAAAAAGAATTTGGGTTGCATTTTTGGGATGAGAGAGACCCTAAAGTTGCCTAAACCAGCCACCCCCAACAGACATTCACAGGTCAAGGGCAAGGTCAGTCAGGTGATGGAAAAGCCTAGATTTAGAAGAGCCTGTGACTAAAAACAGATAAGCCGGTCAACCCACGCCAAGGCTGATTTCCACCTAACCTGTGCATTTGGCAGAATGGTCTGAGACTTCAATGTTGACCTGGAATGAACAGAATCGTTTTTGTTTGTTTGTTTGTTTTTTGGTGCCAGGGATCAAACTTGGGACCTTGCGCTTGTGAGGCAGGCAGCACCACAACTGAGCTAAATCCCCTGCCCAAGAACAAAATCTTTTAAGGCAAAGGCCAGCAAGCTACAGCCTATAGCTCAACACCACCCCCACCCCCCACCCCTGCTGCTTGGTCTTTATACAGCCTGCAAGCCCTTATTTCTTATTTTGAGACAGGGTCTTGCTAAATTGCCCAGGCATGATTCAAACTTGCAATCCTCCTGTCTCAGCCTTCCAGAGTGCTGGGATTATAAGCATGTGCCACCACGCCTGGATGGATTTTTATTTTAAACAGTTTTTTAAATCCATAGAATGCAGGGGTTGGGGATGTAGCTCAGGGGTGCCATGCCGTGCCTGCCTGGCAAGCAGAAGGTCCTGAGTACAATTCCTAGTATCAGAAAAAAAATCCATAGAATTCAAATTTCACTGTCCATAAATAACCCTATACTGGAACACAACCGTGTTTGTGTATGTGTCTCTAGCTGCTTTCACATTCCAACAGCTGAGACCACATGTCCCAGAAGGCCTGAAGTAAGGTGGGCACAGTGGGGCAGGCCTGTAATCCCAGCACTCTAGGAGGCTGAGAAAGGAGGATCACAACTTCTAGCCCAGACCAGACAACTTAGCAACTCTGTTCAATTAAGTTCTGAGGGCTGAATGAATAAAAAAAGGTGATGTAATTGTGACTAGCACAGTTACATATCCACAATAACCATTTTTTAATGTTTACTGTGGAAAACTTCAAACACACAGAACCAGAAAGGATAAACACAAGACCCTCTATGTATTCTCCCCCGCTAGTCCTTTTTTCCTTTTCTTTTTTCTATTTCTGAGATAGGGTCTCACTATGTAGTCCAGGCTGGTCTTGAACTCACTATGTAGCTGAGGCTGGCCTCGAACTCACAGCGATCCTCCTGCCTCAGCCTCTCGAGTGCTGGGATTACAGGCATGCGCCACCACGCCCACCATCTGTGCTACTCCTGCTTCACCACAAATCATTTCCTCCCAAAATACTGCAGAAAATATTTTTAAAAGGTACAACACTTCTTTATCTTTTATTTTTGATCAGCACATATTATATATATGGTTGAGTGTGCTATTTCCTTACATGCATACAGCATCCACTGATCAAATCCAACCTCCCTTTTTACCCACCGCACGCTCTTTCCCAACCCCTTTCCCATCCTCTAGTAATCGCTATTCTACATTTAGGTCAGGTGTTTTAGCTTCCACGTATGAGAGAACATGTGGTACTTGTGCTTCTAAGCCTGGTTCATTTCCTTCACATAACACACTCCAGCTCCATCCATTTCGTCAGGCGGCAGGATGTCCTTCTTCTTTCTGGCTGATATCCCACTGGGTGTCTGGACCACATTCCTTTATCTGCTCGTAGCTCAGTCCATACGGTGAGTGTCGTAAACAGTGCTGCGAGAGACATGGTAGCGTCTGGCTGTGCTGATTTGACCCCGCCGGGGTAGGTACACCTGGAATTGGGGTCCAGGTCACAGCATGGACCTAGTCTTCGTTTTTGTGGACTCTCCATCCCGTTCTCCACCATGGCTGTGCTAACTCACACTCTCACCAATGGTGCAGAAGAGTTCCTTTTTCTTCCCATCCTTGGCAGCATTTCTTGTTTTTTTCAATTGTCTTTAGAATAAGCCATAGGCAGAGCTGGGATCTCACAGTAGCTTTAACGGACACTTCCCTGGTGGCTGATGATACTGAGTATTTTTCCATAGATTTGTCATTTGTGTTTCTGCTTTTGAGACTATTCAGATCATTTGCCCACTGAGGTGGATGAACTAATGGTCAGCTTGGGACACCCAGCTGAACTGGATCAGCGTGGTCGATGTATGGAGGACCCACCTGAGGATTGTTACCAATAACCATAAAATAACCATGAAAAGAGAACTAGAGGGAAGATCGTGGGCTGTTGGTTTTCTAGAGAAGCTTGCTGCGGGTGGTTTTCCTGGTGTGAACTTGGCTGTTGTTGGAGGAAGAGCTAAGGGCCTCACTGTCACTGGGAACGGCTGCTGTTCTCATCAGGGGATCTCTGATCTTCACTGTGAGTGTCATTTCCTGGATCCAGTGTGGATCCCTCAGCCTGGTGGTACAAATCCTTCATCCCAGGTTTTCTGGTTTCCACCACTGGCCTTTGGGCCTTCCAGGTGCAGATCCTCAGTACAGACAAGCATGAGACACTGCTGTGGGCTCTATGCCTCTGGCTGGACTCGTGGAGGACACTGCCTTGGACTCCAGGCCTTCAGCTGGACTTGTATGGGACACTGCTGTAGGACCCAGGTCTTTGGCTGGACTCTTTGGGCCTCTAGTGTGTGGCCAATCCCTTGCACACCTCCGTATTAGACTTTTGGGGTAAATATCATAAAATAATCCTATATTAAATGTATTTCCTTGCCAAAACCCTGACTATAACAAAATTGGCGATAAGGAAGGGATTTGAACCCACATTGCTGTGATGTGGCCTGGCCACATGGCTTAAGCTTAAAAGGTCTGGGAATCCATTTGGAAAGGCTTTGAGAGACCAACCAAAGAGGCAGCTCTCATATGCTCTAAACACTATGGCAGACTCTGGCCAGAGCCCAGAAAATCAGAGTACTGTGGAAAAGTGGGATGAGGATCTGCTGGGGACATTGACTGCTGGATTCTAGGCAGTGTATGCCGTGCTTCGGCAAGAAGTAGGTCTGCATTTTGCGTGTGTTTGGAGACACTGCCTGGGTGGCAGAAAAATTTCAGTGCGGTAGTGTTGGGATGGTAGCATGGTGACTGTTGAGGTCCACGCTGGAAACTAAGAGCATTCTGAAGAATTTGGCCAGGGAGGCTCCAGCAGAGCCGGATTGCAAGGATGAAACAGAGGAGGACATGCTTGTTGGGAAGGAACAGGATAATGCAGAAGTGACCTGAGACCTTTTAGCAAAAGGCTAGAGTGTATTTGGAGTGCAGGAGATCCCAAAATTAATGGGAAGCAAGGATTGTGATTTTAATAGCGCTCCCCTATTATGATTTTAATGTAGTGATATGTTGATGTATATAAGACTATCTTTAAGTGTTGCTAAATTATGTATATAAATGGAAACCTAGTTTTTTGGGGGTTTTCTGTTTGTTTGTTTGTTTGTTTTTGGTACCAGGATCAAACTGGGGACCTTGAACTTGCAAGGAAGGCAGTGGAACCACTCAGCTAAATCCCTGGCCCAAGAGCTTTAAAATTTGAAGTCATAATGTGGAAATGAGTGCACTGAGAATTGTATAGATGTAATTGTTATATTAATGTAAATCTGAAGAGATCAAGATGTTAACTTTTCACAAATCTGCCACTAGAGACTATGGTTTAAGGAAATGTGTCTGGTATCAAAACTCTCTTTTTAAAAACATGGTCATTTGCATGTCAATTTTAACTACTGTGCCTGTCCGCAATCAGGTTTGACTGCTAAGTAATTGCAAACTATTCTAGAATCAAATCAGGGACTCACTCATATCAAACCTTGTGCTAATACTCTACCAACACACTCCCCATCGTCAGCATATATACTTTTTTGTTTTGAGACGGTCTCACTATGTAACCCAGGCTGGTCTCGATTTTATCTTTTCAACCCTGTTTTTTTTGGCGGGGGGTACTGGGGATTGAACTATGGTCCTTGTGTTTGCGAGCCAGGTGGCAAACCACTGAGCTAAATACCCGGCCCTGGCCTCGAATTTATGAGAATCTTCTGCCTCAGCCTCCCAAGTGCTGGGATTGTAAGCTCCTGCCATCATGCCCGGCATTACCGTATATATTAACATAATTTGTTACTCAATACATTCCTGAGTGGGCTCCAACCTATTGTACCAACCTCATTTCCCACACACCCACCACAATAAAACACAAACCCAGTTCAAGCTCAAGAGATGGAAAGGACTTGTTCCTGAAGCCCGTCTCCTCCATGCCTTTGCAAATGCTTCTCCCTTCGCCTTCCTCAGGTCATGGAGAAATTCTGATTTCTTCTCAAGATCCAAAGCTAATGACTTCCCTCCCCTATGCTGTTTTCTCCCTTCCCAACCAAATTGAATAATTATTGTTCTCAATAAAAAACAGTTCCAATTTACTGTGCCATTGGCCTACAGTTCAGCTCTGGCCAGCAATGTGATCTGTACCCCAGAAACGGGATCAGCAGCCTATACTCTGCAATTGGAAGGAACCTCAGACCTGTCTGCAGGCATAATGTTAACTCATCTATGATATAAGCTCTAACTTCCTTAGACTTCTACTGCCTTTCCACGGGGTCACAGAGCTACCTAAGTGATGGTTACTGAGCTGGAAAATGGGCTTCCAAAGCTCAAAGATAATACAAAAGACCCAGGAAATGTCAGAGTTCTACCAGGAGTTCAGGTGGAAATCCCGCCAGCCACACAAACAGTGGGTACACAACAGTGGGTTTGGGAGGCCAGCAGAGAGAAAGGTTTCATAAACCTCTGTTCCCACAGAGCTGGGACCCAGGGAACCAAACAGTCAGCAGTGATGTGGCTCTGGTCCAGCCGATGAGTCACCTTCGGGATACAGCCCAGCAGGCTCGCTTCGAAGGCCAGGAAGGCAACCAGGCCATGAGTGAGAAGCAGTGGATCCACCGGGCATGGACGGTGGGCCACAGGTGAGCGCAGAGGAGGCAGGGAACACACCTATGGTGTGAGAGAAGCTGAGGGAGATGCAGGGAAAGCTGGGGAGCACTGTGGGGGTGGGCAGGTGGCAATGCAGTAGCCCTAAGAAAGGACGGCACCCTGCCGGACAGGCAAGCACCCAGAGTCTCAGCACCAGGAAGATGACAGTGAGGCCCGGAGCATGGCCAAGTCCTGAGAGAGGGTGAACCGGGCAGGGTCTTCAAGGGGCCCCAGTCCTGCTAAGGTAATCAGACAGGGTAGCTGGGTACATCCCAGCACTCTGGGAGGCTGAGAAAGGAAGACTGAAAGATTGAACCCAGCCTAGGAAACTTAATTATTTAGGGAAACCCTGTATATAAAAAAAACAAACTGGGAAAGGAGCTCAGTGCAAAGGCCCTGGTTCAATTCCCAGTATGATCAGGAAAGAATAATCCAAACAATGATTATTGCGCATGTTTTATTTTTGTTGTTGT